TCACAACAGCTGTAGTGAGCACATCCTTTGTATATAAAACTGTGAACATATTTAAATCACGAAGTATCTGATCAAAAATAAGTAGAACACACTGTATGTCGATGTTGATTTTCCATGTTGTCATGTATGCTCTTATAACCAGTCTTATCTACATTTTGGTGGTAGTAAAAACCTAGTAGGGGTTGATAATGCTGATTTAAACGGATCAATCCCAGCAGCTTTCTGAAACTATCTTCTGGCCACTTCTGCTGTTTAAGGAGTGAATCCTGCACCACCTTTAATTGATCAGGATTTGTCTCTGCGTTAATAAAATCAGACAATCATCCAAAACATGTTCGGATGTAATGGATGGAAACATTCACAATAGAACATAATTATTTACATTTTTTTGTGGTTGTGATGTTTGTTTAAAAAACCGATTTAAGAACATAATAAAAAGAGCATGTATATTTGTCTAAAAGCTGAAATCCACCTTTACTTTGTCCTGTTGCTTCTGTCTGGGGGAAATGAAACAAGCAAGACGTCTTTGGTGGTTTGCAGAAGCGTTCTGGCATCTGCTTAGTGTTCCAGCTAATTCTGTTACAGGATGTATAGACGGTTCTGTTCTGCTTCCTTATCGCGAACACACACCGCTATCGTCATCGTTGTATAACACTTTGGAAGCGGCAGACAGGACAGATAAGGCGAGAGAGAGAGAGAGAGGAGAAAAAAAAAGATTGTGTGTAGGATGTGTTGGGAGAACAGAGCACATTCATCGCTGATGAATATTTCAAACGCTCCTCTGTTATGTCGAAAGGATGAAAGATTAACACTACTACTGTGGGAGGATCTTAAATAAATCAGTACATGAAGACACAAGACTTATTCCCATGGAGTTGATTTTCTTCATATTTCAGAAGAAGATTTCATTTCTGCATACCTCTTACACACATTATATAATCCTTTTATATTAAGTTGTCATTGTTTTCAGGTTTTGACGGATTGCAGACTAATCTACAACGATGGCCCAACCCAGATCTTTAATCGTGTCAGAGGAGATTAATAAGTGTAGCATTATTGTAGTCAGTCTACATGGATAGTTTAAATACTTTTGACCTCCTCCTGTGAGGTTGGCAGGTCACCAAATAATTGTGTCACCTGTCAGTCCAATGCTACGAGTCAAACGCTCAGTAAGTCCCCAAAACTTACTTATGTTCAATTATAAGAAACAACATTTTAATGACATCAATAACATAGTGTGTGTTCTCATTATTATTAAGAACAAATGTATATCTTTGTATGTTTTCAATGTGTAGTAGTAGATGACCTCACTGGCCATCATTACTGTATATGTTCATTGAATTTAAAAAAAACAAAATGCATCTGCTTCTAAAAAATTCACATTTGTCTACTTTCACTAGAGATTTATATAGATATTTATTTCTGCAATATTAACCCTGAGTTTATTTGGAACCCCCATCAGATCATACCATTGCCCACCCCATACAAATGGATCGGTCCATGTGACATCAGCATTGAGGAAGTGACATCACACAAGTTTTAATGTTTAAAGATTGCCGGGCTTAATACGATGATAGCAAACTATTGCCTTGGAATATTCAAGCAAAAGTGTTGCAGTGTTGATGTCCTAAATGACATGCCGGCGGCTAATGTTATTCCAAAATTGAAACTCATTCACATTCACCCCTGTCACAAGGAATGACGAATAATAATCGGGATTTCATGCCTGATTTCATGCCTGATTTCATGCCTGATTTCATAAGGTATATTAAAGGTGGGGTATGTAATTTTGGAGAAACCAGCTCGAGTGCGCTAGAATTTGAAAATACACAACCGGAAAAAATCTGCCACTTCCTTACAGAGCCCCTCCTCCAACACACACGAACGCGCACATGACCAATGAGGGCACGAGATAAGTTTGTGCACAGATGGAAGGCTGACAGGCAGGTAGGCCATCCAGTTATTTTAGCCGGGCCGGCTCAAATGATTGGTCTTGCTTTTTACAGTACTACGGCTTCCACAGATGAATTTTTTTAATGTATTTATTGTCAAAGCATTTAAGATATTCATTGCTATCGGGATGTTAAGAGCATTCCATGGAATATAACAAAAAGTGTTTCTGAAATCAATTACATACCCCACCTTTAACTAGTTCAGTTCAGTTGCGTTATGAGAATTGTAGGATTCAAAGTTGTGTGAGTTTGACCCATTCTACAGAATCACTGCTTGATCGATCTTCAACTCTCTTTTTTAAAGTTCTCTCCTCAACGTATTTAGTTGAAATATTCCATTGCTAGAGAAACAAACATTTTCCATGAATGCACTGGTCTGGATTATCCCTTTTACATAACATTTGCTTGAGGTGATGATGAAATATAGTTTCATTCACATGATGCACTTCTATTTTCTCTTCACTATTCTCAAATATGTTTTAATAAAAAGTTGACCTTAGTACTCACAAGAAATCAACACGGCATCAACAGTACATTTAGGGTTTTAATATACAGTTTTCAAGATAAAGTTCTCTGATAAACAAAGGGACAGTTTTTGGCTATATAAAAAGCTATGTAGAAACCAGTGACTAGACTTAGAGACAATAGTGGTTGTGTGCTTACATTTTCAGGTATCAAATACAGACACAATTAGCTCAAGAGTGAAGAGGATACTCACAAAATTCAGAATAAACGTCCCACTGACTGATTAACAAGAATCACTTCATCAATATTTAATTGAACCACGTTACTACACACTGAGCCATTTAGAATGAGCTATACTTCCAGAAAAAAAGAATCAGTTTCAGGAGGTCAGCTAACACTTGTCGCATCAAATAAATGGGGAAATCCTGACGTTACCTAAGTGAACTGGACATACAAAACTTTTGATTTAATGATAGAATCTAGTGCTAGAGCATATCAACTGAGATCCCTGGACAGGTTTACACAAGGGCCCACAATAGCCTGATAATGATGGTAATAAAAATAGTTGTCAAACAGGCTGCAGGGTATTGTGTTGCCGTGCTTCTGCCCATTTCCTCCATTAACTTGAAGAACTGCATCCTACCTGGATCTCTTGGAGCTCATAAACGGCACTTCATTAAAGCCAAAGTGTTGTTGCCTCCAGCCATGGCAGGAAAAACACAAAACACCCGTCATCCACAGATTCTCTCTCAAGAGTATTTTTTTTAGTATGACTTGCCCTGGGCACCGTCATATCATTTGTGATTTATGATTCGTAGTAAAATCCTGTGTCGATGGAGCTGAGGGCGAGCTGACCTCCGCGCTGAGAGAGACACCCAGAGATAGTGTGCTACTACCACAAGAGCACGAGAAACAGACAGAGAGAAGGTGTTTGGCAGTGCAGAATCGTATGTAAAAGATTCATCGCAATATACAGAATACCACTGAATATCACACCTGGGTCATCACAGAGTTCACCAGCAGCCATGTTGGTTCTATACACTATTAGGAACAGGTCTTTTATTAGGTTAACAAGCACATTAATGGCTTTTAAGTACATTTTGGTCATCCTGAGATGCCTCTTACACACTTACCGTAACTTAAATTACCTGCGTTGTTATACATGGTGATGGAGGGTGGAACGTTGTTTTGACCCAGGTCTGATTGGTAGGATTAAGAAAACAGATTTACAGTACAATACACTTGTAAATGTATACGCTGTGAAGAACATTTAATTGGTTCTCCTTAAAAAACCCAAGTAATGAAACTGCCAATGTTATTATAAGTCAAGAATTTTTATTTTTTCTGTTAATTTACCATCCATGAAAACTCACCCTCTTAGGTCATCGTTGCTACGCTAGTTAAGCTAACTTTTCTTGCATGGCACATAGGCTATGCTGACGATAGAGGCAGATTTTCAATTAACCTTCCAATTGACACAATGGGTCTTTCATTTTAGATATAAGTAGAAAAGACGCCTCTGATTTTTTTCTTCTATGTGCTAAGAACACGATCTGTTGATTTCATTAGCTGTAGCTAGGTAGCTAACTAAGCTAACATTAGACTGAGAACCCTGTAAAAGTGATCTTAAATATACATTTGATGGTCACATACATTACATATTGCTAAAAGCCTGACGTTGAAGTTGCTTGTCCCTGACACAAAGTTAGCATTATGTGATTGCTACGTTTTGATTGTACAATAATGGTAGCACTTTATTTTACTGTTAAGAAATAAAACAAAAATAATTGATATCCAATAAACCTCTTAAAAGTAGTCATATGAACAATTTACTAATGCAGTATTGGCACTTTTTTGTGATATTAATTAAGTAATATGCTGTTACGACCAAGTTAACGATTGATAGTTACGGCCCGTCCACACAGCGGCGTGCGTTGAAAGCTTCACCGTGACGTCACTTTTCGCTGAACTGCATTGTGGGAAGCGAAGCGGAGTTTTGCTGGCGTGGCTCGCTGCAAAGTTGAGCAATGTTCAACTTTTGAAGCCTCGGCAGAAGCGTCAGCCAATCGAATCATATGCCAGTACAAGCTCTAGCCAATCAAACCACTGCTTGTGTGTCAGGGGCGGGAGATTCATGTGATTGGTTGTTGGTCGAGTTTCAGACACGCCTGCCGGCAAGCTTCAACGCACGCCGCTGTGTGGACGGGCCGTTAATGTCACTGTTAATGTGTTACATAAACCACAAATAAATACTATACTGATGTATTAATACAAATATGCAGATGCTTGATAATCTATCCAAGTCTGTACCTTGTCAATTTATTAAAACCTATTAACCACAGAGTAATTGGGTAGCCTACTGTAAAATAAAGTGTGACCACATTTTATTTTATGTGTCTAACAACACTCAGGGCTTCAGCCGATCTCTATATGGCATCTCAGTGAAACTCTTTATTGATTTTCTTTTGTTTGTTTCTCACACCACCATCGTTCATGTATTCCACACACACCTGTAATCTGTCTTCTTGACCAAAATCCCAGCACGCAGCTCAATTACTTGCGATTTCAAGTCGAACCGAAGGATTTGTTGTTCACAGCGCATTTATCATACAGTAAGAGCACCAAAGAAAGTGTACAGTTTATATACAGCCCAACGTGTAAGGCGTAACATGATACAACAGTGTAGTGCAGATATTTATATTCAGACCAGTCCGTGTTGAGTCCATCCCTTGCAGTTCTCTGTATTTATATTCCCTCCATTCAATTTCATTTGACTCCTTTCCAATCCATTCGACTCCAATTTGAGTCCATTTTCATTCCACTTAAGTCCGTGTTTATGTATCTCTGAGACCAGCCCAGTAATGTTTGAGTCCCCTGGATATTTTTCAATATACAGTTTAAGTTTTGTTGTGTACATTTGGATCGTCCAACCCACTCTCTTCTTCTCTTGCAAACTGTCATTACTGAGAGACACCCTGCGCTAGTTTAATTATCCTTGTTCCCTTGTGTGCAGCATTACATGAACTGTACATATGCAGCTTATATAGTCTGTAAACTGAGTCCTGTATTTCTATATAGGCAGTGTGTGCCCACATTTTTGAGTTATTATACAAGGTTAGGCTTGATTAATTAGTCTCCAGAATTTCAACAATGACTCACTAGGAAGATGATTGGCATTGATAATAATACAGTATAGTTTCCCATACATAATTATTATTAAATGACGGCCAAATACACTTCATCATCCCAAGTGATTTAAGTGATTTTATTAAATTAACCAGAACATATTGTGATGCATACTGTACAATGATATTCCTGTGTAACAGTATAAATAGTTTTAGCTTAACCTGCCCATACAATGAGACTGAGGGACATTTTTTTTTCAATTTAAGAAGATATTACCTCATTGAACCTCTTTTAAGGAACCAGGTAGGTTAATCCGAACTGATATTCAGGCATAGAAGGTCATACAGCAGGCAGGTTTGTAAGTATTTGTTGTAATTGTAAGTATTACAGGTTCAGGCAAGTACTGACCCTGTTTGAAGAGCACCCCAGGGCATGAGTGAAGAAGATGCTTTTTGTACGCTTTCCTGTGAAATTAGGGTCATACAGGTTACAGTGAATGTAGAGGATTATTGTAAGGAATGAAAGTTAAGGATTTAGGACACTGGCTGAATGTGATTATTCAGTGTCCCACTTTATTCATGCACCCATTTAAAAATGTGACTAGACTAGCTAAGGCATATCTCTCCTAGCCGAGTCCGAGAAACGCTAGCTGAAGGCTAATAGCAGGCTAGTGAAGTCTCCATCCCTGATGAGGAACGTCAGTTTAGCAGTGGGAGCCTGCAGGGGTGTAGTTACTCAGCTCCCTGCGGATGGTGCTGAACGGAGACAGCTCCAGCTCGGTGGTGCACTCGTGTTCGTTATCGTCGCTGCCGGTTGCCGAGGAAGGCGCGTGGTTACAGCAGCAGCAGCAGCAGCAGTCCAGGAAAGCTCTTCCTAGCGGACGGCACAGGAGGAGCAGCAGCGCCGGAGTCACCGCGGCCCGACAGAAGAGCAGCAGCTGGGACAGAAGATGGAGGACGGACATGGTGTGTTCAGGAACACCGGCCGCCATGTACGCGGACACTATGTTGCAGATGTTCTCCGGCACCACGCACGCTCCGTACACGATCGCCAGCGCCACGACGGTGCAGTTCATCTGGCTCTCCAGACGGATCTGCTTCTTGTTGCTGCGCACGCTGGCTTGCTCCGCCCGACGGATCTTACGCGCCGTCACCAAAGAGCAGCCGATGGTGAAGAGGGTGGGGAGGCAGAAGTAGCAGCCGAAGCACCACCAAAGCCTGGCGCCCTCGTAGGTCAAACCCAGAATGTATAGCATGTCGGGGAGCGAGGTGGATATCCTGATGATGCAACGTTCAACTGGAGGCTCGTCAGGATTTCCTGTGTCCTCGGTCACCAGCTGTCGGATGAGGAGCTCCGGCAGGGCCAACAGCAGAGCGCCGATCCAGATGACTGCAAGTTTAGCCGTGGTGGAGGTGCAGTTCTCGATCATCTCGTAGTACATCTGGACGTTGGTGGCCGCGCGGAAGCGGTCGATGCACAGGGCGCACAGGGTGAAGGTGGTCACACCGAGGGAGGCCACCTGAGGAAACAGAGAGAAAAAATATTACACATTTATTTAAAAATATATATATTTCCCCTCTGTGTAAAGAGATTCGGAAAGTTTCAGGAACAAAGGCTTCCTCTCTTTTTGTCCTGATCCATTTATATAAAAACCTGTCTGAAAATGAGCTGATCAGATTTTGGCCACTTTATGATGTCATAACGATGTTTTGGCTTGTGTAACCATTAGCCAATCAGCAACCAAGGTAACCCCCGCCCACCTTATCACCTGAATCTCCTCCTAGAGCACCATTGTGATTTTTTAAACCAATCACTTCGCAGAGGGGCGTGGCCAGCAGCAGCTCATTAGCATTTAAAGCTACAGACAAAGAATCAGCACTTTTGAAACAGGGCTGAAACAGAGGGGATTATGGGATGCTGCAATGATCTGTTTGGTGTTTCGAGCCAAACACTTCAGAGACATGTTTTATATATATTGTTGAAAAAGAGTAATATAGGGGACCTTCAAGTCATTAAGATTGCAGATTTGTCTTGGTGGCTTGAAGAGGCTTTACTTGAGTCATGGTGCTTTAAAATGCTGTTAATAACAAACTGTAGCATGAAACAGCACAGGACTGTAGGAGGGAATAAAAGAGACAAAAGTTAGCTAACAATTGCCTCATAAAACGTATCTACAACTGCCAGATGGGCTGTGGCGGTTGTCAGGTCCCCAGTCTTAAATGAATAAAAGAATAACAAGGAGCAGACATAATTATCTCCAGTGTAGAAAATGTCTGACATCGTCTGGCAGAATCTTAAGGAAGGGCTGGCGGGGACGTAAACAAGCAGAATCTCCGACATCACACACAAACAAAGGCCTTTCTGCAAGTTGACAAGTCACCACATAGAAAACGTAAGGGCACACATTTAATGGTGCACCTGACACTGGCGTAATTACAAGCAGTGGAGCAACAGAAGCACAATGGCAGGCTGAAAGCTGCTATTACCACTGTGGAGCATCCCTCAATGTGTGTGTGAGAGGGAGGAGACCACACACACAGCGAGAGGGCGGATTGAAAAGCGCCGCGCTCATTCAGTCAAATGTATGGTTCAATGAGTGTTACTAATTAACAAACTTCCTAAACATTCCTCTGTTATGTTTCATTTAAACCGCCATGTATCAAGTTAATTGCCTCCCGTTCTCGATGTTAAAAAGTCGGCAAATTGTCAGAGAGCTCACAAATTTCCTCGGCATCTGTTGGATTAACAGTCATTTTGGCTGAGTGGGCACCCTGCAAAACATTCATCCACAGCTGGAGAGAGAGAGAGAGAGTGTGTGTGTGTGAGAGAGAAGTGTGTGTGTCCTCACATGAACCACTTCCTCCAGTATTTTGCCTGCAGCAGAATCTGCCACTGATCCCCCATCATCCCTCCTGTCTCACATTGCTTACCTTTTCTCCCTCTGACTCTCACTTATCTCTCCTTTTTCTTAACCTTCCTCCCCGTCGTCACCCACTGTTCCCTTCCTTCCCTCCTTCCTTTGCCTTCCTTCTTCATATCAAATTTAATTACAACAGCCAGATTCCCAGATGGCCCTTGTGAGCCACGGCTTTTGTGCTCCAAACATGAACAGATATAGAGGCACACACCCTGCAAGATGTTCCGTGTATCTGGGTCTTGCACGCACGCACGCACACACACGCACACACACACACACACACACACACACACGGAAAGTCTTGAGTGTAGTAGGGCGTGCAGGAGGCAAGACAAACACGCCAAGACCATGAACATTTTATGGATTTCACTGTATATGTGCTGCATGGAAAATAAATTATACACACATGCACACACAACCGCTGTGATGGGGAGGGTAGTCAGACACACACACACACACACACACACACACACACACACACACACACACACACACACACACACACACACACACACACACACACACACACACACACACACACACACACACACACACACACACACACACACACACACACGCACACGCACACGCACACGCACACACACACACACACACACTCTGACCTTCTGACACACATGGTTGCCAGACTAATGAAGGATACATGAAGGGAAAGAGTGGTAGATAAACCGCCAACATGCTCCAGTAACTGTGATCATTTGACTTCATTTTGGATTTTATTATGTGCCATTACGCCACAATCTTGCAACTAAAATACAGAAATCAGAACAACGATTATCTTTTATGCAACACCTTTTCTTTTCAGAGCAACGTGGAGTAGATTTAAGCCGAACCACGTTCATATGAGTTGTTATTCACAGCCTGGACGGATTAATCCTTCAGGTGATTTGGGCAGCTTTGAGTGCACTTGGCAGATGTTGTCATGTTACTCTCAGATACCTACAGTATGTTGGGATGCCAGGCACCAAAAAACAAATTAAGCAGGAGCCTGTGCAGCAGCTAAGCTTATTTTCATCATTTTTGTACATGAACAACATAGGCAACAAATCATACTTTAATAAAGCCATGAATGCACCTTTGAATCATTGAAAATGGTGTAGAAATATCATATTCAAGTGAATTCTAAACATATAGAATTTTTTAGTGTGCCCTCGTGCTTTTTCTGTTATATCGATGCAGGGGTGTCAAGTCTCAAGCCGTTATGGCACCAAAGATTAAACAGAATTTTGCCTCCCCTGATCTCCACTATGAATAAAACACAAACACACAGCAGTTCTGCTCACTTCAATTTCTGACTCATCTGTCAGCGTGGAAACCATTCAGGGAAATTGCTCTCTGCTATTTATTTCTGCATCCCACTCCACTGCTGAAACACTGCTACGCTGCGTGTTAGGAATACCGTTTTAATGGAGAATAATGAGCTTTTTTTTTTTTACAGCTTGTTCTTATCAGTTTTCAGTTAAAAACATGCCTGGTAATTGAGGTTTTCTGTTCATTTTAATAGCTAAAAATGATTATATCAAGCTCGACTTGTGACCCATTTCTTTATCTGTACTTAAGCCCACCTGTATTCCCATATGTTGGCTTCACGTAAACACACACACACACACACACATCCAGTAGACACGGACAGGTGCACATAGTGAATATTTCATGTCTTGAACAACAGGCTTGGAACGGCTTTAAAGGCTGTCATGGAGGACCCTGAAACCCAGCTTTGATCAGCGTGTCGGGGTGGAGAGCGAGGGCAGGAGGAACAACCGTAGCTTTGTACCAGAGAGGGGGTGGGGGGAGGGAGAGTCAAGAGTCAGGCCTGGTGGGGTGATGAGGCTGAGTGTGTGTTTGTGTAAGGGGATTAATGCAAATGAGAAAACAGGGAAAGAAGAATAGAAAAAAGAGTGGAGAAGAAGACAATAGCAGGGAACACCCTAAGCCCTGACATCTTCAGAAAGATTAACCATGTTAATGTGGCATTTCATCCAGAACGCAGCCCTGACCCTGTCATGTTCGTTTCACCTGGAGAAGACAGGTCTGCTCGCGTAAGGGTGGCAATTAAACTTCTGAAAAAGTAGCATTTGAAGAGGCCCTATTCTGCTTTTGTGGTTTTCCCTTCCTGTAGTGTGTTATATAGGTTTCAGTGCATGTAAATGGTCTGCAAAGGCTAAAATCCAACAATCCCTGAAACGCCTCCATTGGACTCCTTTGTTTACTTCTGTAACATAATGACATCACTATGTAACACTTGCGCTTCTATTGGGTAGCGCTCCAACACATTGTACGTGATAGGCTAAGGGGCGGGACATCTTTAAGCGGTTGACCAATCACAACAGAGCCAGCCAGCTAACCAATCAGAGCAGACTGGGCTCTGGTTTCAGACAGAGGGTGAACAGAGGTGCTGCAGCACAGGCAGTATGAGAAAAATAAAGAGCTTTTTGAACATTAAAGCATGGAGACATGTCACAGTAGAGACACTACATACTGATATGAACCTGAAAATTAGCATAATAGCTTCCCCTTAAATAAACATACTTGTCTATGACGTGTTAATTGTCAAACAAAACCATGAACACCTCATAGACCTCTCATAGACTGGTGATATGCAACCTGTAAATAACCGTTTTCCCTTTTCATCTTATATATTTCTTCAGGCTCTCAGACTTCAAGGAAGGTACCACCAAATCAGAACATGAAAAGGTGTTTCATCCACAACACATGTCGGGCGTCGGTCTGCACAGCAGGTGAGAAACACATGGTCCCCTGGTGCTGTTCTCAATAACGGCCCATTACCTCCCTGATTAAAGGTCCTGTGAGCTGGTGGCACAAAGGCCTCACATTATTAATTGCGTTTTAACAAGGACTGGTGGAGCCTGTGCAGCCATACACCAGCCACTGTCAGGGTAATGGGTGTTATCAGGTGATGAATGGGCAGACATCACACACACACACACACACACACACACACACACACACACACACACACACACACACGCACACACACACACTCAGTCTTAGAACAATGAACCATGTAGACTAAGGGTTAATCCAGCTTCAGTCCTATTTCTAGGCGGAGTGTGACCCAGTGCAGGCTCTAGCAGACCATAACTCTGACAGAGACCCCCCCCCCCCCCCCCCACTGACAGCCACCATCCGTCTTACAGCAGCAGAGAAGCTGATGTACAGTATGTGCACAGACACACACACACACTTGTTAGTATGTGTGTGTGTGTGCACGTCGACATTTATGCAGGATTAGTCAAATTGTGTAAATCTTTTTGGTGTGTATATAAGTAAAAATGAATTGTGTGTGTGTGTGTGTGTGTGTGTGTGTGTGTGTGTGTGATCTCAACAAGCTTTTTATAGTATAGCTTTTTTGGAGCTTTTCTTCTCAGCAGACAGACCTACTGTCATGTAACTGTATAAGAAGTTGAATACTTTAAAAGAATAGTTTGACATTTGAGAAAAGAAACATATTCGCTCTCTGTTCGATGAGAAGATGCCCTCACATGATCACCGGTAAAACGACTCTGTGTTGTCTGTGTCATTGTTTTCCTGGAGGTAGCGGTGCCGCCCGTCTCTCAAAATGG